CCTGGCTGTGGGCTGAGTTGGCCTGCAATATTGTATTCTAACCACTGTCAACCCGGCAGTCAGCAGAAGTAGCCTGCAGTACTGTATTCTAACCACTGTGCCACTACCGCTCAGTTACAGAAATAGCTAAACTTTCCTAAAGAATTTCATTGTTCTTACTGAAACTTTTTCATATTGGACATAGTACTTTGAGATTCACCCTAAGTTTCCCTTTAGATAAAACTTATTAACAACTCAATTCAGGATAAATCCATATTGAAAACTGAAATTCAATTTTGGTAGAATAGCTATTTCTGTAACTGAGCGGTAGTGGCACAGTGGTTAGAATGCAGTATTGCAGGCTAATTTTGCTGACTGTCAGCAGTTCAATCCTGACCAGTTCAAGGTTGACTCAGCCTTCCATCCTTCTGAGGTTGCTAAAATGAAGATCCAGATTGTTGGGGACAATATGCTGACTCTGTAAACCACTTAGAGAGGGCTGTAAAGGACTCTAAAGCAATAAAAGTCTAAGTACTATTGCTATTGTAACTGTATTCTTTCTTTTTTATATATAGAACATGTTCTACTCAGGGCATGTATAAAATGGAAATATCTGTTGAGAAATGTGTCCTCCATTTTAAAAAGTTATTCTTTTGTTGACATTTACTGTCGCGTTAAATTAAATTTGCCTGCCTAGTATGTTGAAAGATACATTTACCTTCAGAAATGTTCAGCATATTCTTAATGATCTCACACTCACCAGCATGAAAACCTGTTTCAATTGTCGATTTATTTACATCCATTCTAAAATAAATGATGGTTGATGCTAATAGCGAAAATGGAAAATGATCATGTACAATTCACATTACTGCTATCCTGTTTGAGTCAAATAACTCACATAGAAATGTTTGAGATCATGAATTCATTTGTTTTCAGTACTATTAAAGCAAGGCCCTGCATAGAGCTGCTTAAAAGTAGTCCAGAAGTTTCACAGCTGGGACAAAATGCCTCTGCTCAGTTATTGAGTGAATTGCAATGCCGGAGTCCTATTATACTACATATATTTGCATTGGCTACCCAGTTACCTTCAAATCCACTTTGATGTTTGTTCTTAAACTTAGAAGTTCCTAAGCCTAAAGCATTTGCTGAAATATCTCTCCTGATATACATCAACATGGCCTGGTAACATTTGGGAAGCAGGGATAACAGTGCTGATCCCATTTACACAATAAAGGTTCTTCTCAGTTTTGCACTTCCTTTAATATGTACCTCTATCCTTTAGAAGTGTATCTGTTATATTCACTATTGCAGCACCCTTTTACCAATTCGTTATCATAGGTCTTGCCTAATTTTTTGATTTTTTTTAATGAAGGGTGTTATCTAAAAATAACAACCATGGTTAGCATATCAAAATAGCTAGCAGTAATGGGACATTATTTAGAGGGAAGGGAGTTGGAAAGGAGACTGGAAATAGCTGCCATAATCATCACCACTACTTCAAAAGTAGTGTCAGCAGGACTGGCTGGCATGTCAGGTGCTACTAATCCCAACATCATTTGTAATAGACAATGAAATCATTGCTGGCAGGATGCCTATTGGCTTTCTGCCTCTCCTGGATTGGCAATAGAGAGAGCAGTGGTAGCTATTTCTAGTAGAAATCAATCAAGAATTGCCATTAAAGGCAACGATTCTGGCCTGATTCATATGATATTTAGCAGAATCTCTCTCTCTCCCTCCACCCCACCCCACCCTACCCCAGAAATCAGGAATAGAACCTAATCCTAGGCAAAGCCCCTTTGGCTACAAACTGCCTGCTTCATAATAAGGAGTAGCAAATCCAAACATGCCCAAACCATAATCTTATTCCTTTACAGAAAGTATGTCCATACCAAGAGTCAATGTAGGAATCAGGTTCAACCAAGATGACTCACATAAAAAAATAGAAACTCCATCTTCTTGGGTTTAATTTGAGGTTAGTTAGACCCATCCAATCTTCAAATAACTTTGAGAACATTCCCTGTCCAACCTTTGGCCCAACTGGGGACAGCAATGCACAATTGATTATCATCAGTGTGCTTCATCATAAACCAATATATGATTCCTGGTGGTTTTATGAAGTTAAGTAGATAATAAAGATAAATATCCATATAATTTGGGGCTAGATGTAGAAATAAAATGCACCATGGCTAAAGTGTACTTTAGATTTACATCAAGATGTTATTATCTGTTAAACCTAAGGTATAAGTCTAAGAATAAATTTACTAATAAATATATGAACAACTTGTGAAATTACAGAGGTTGGTAATCTTAATTAACCTTGGCTGACTTCAGAAAAGATAAACAGAAAGATCTGCAGGAATCTTATATATGGAAGTCGAAAAACTATCCCAGAAATAGGAAATGGCAAATCATTTCAGTATTGTTGCCAAGAAACCTTCATAGCCATTTCCATGTAATCATCAGAAGTTGAACTCAGCTCAAGATGGTATTTGTATTTGTTATGAAACAAATATATCTAAATTCTCATATAGGAAGCAATTGTTTTCTTAATTTCTCTAACACGACTTGTATAAAAATAAATGTTTTGGCTGATTTCTCTGCAGGCTGGATAACTGATTAGAGACTGCCATTTTAACTTTTTTTTTGTCCTGGAGTGAAAAACAAGGAAGCAAGAAACTTGATTTGAGTTCCCATTGTTTCCTGTAGCTGGAATAATTGAAATGTTTTGAGTTTTGTAGTGACACTCAAGCTGTTTCAAGTTTTGTTTCATTGGAATGCAACCAACCTGGAACGTTCCAACCGAATGTTCCAATTTGGTTGTTATTCTGATTTTGAAACAAATTCAAAATCACATTTAAAGATTTGTAAACACCCCTACTGTGAAGCTAATTAGATTAACCTCATTAAGTTTCTACTAGTAGTTATCATACTAAATATAAACATGTAATCAGAAAGTAGGCAGAGAGAGAGAAAGAGAGAAATTAGAGTTGTCATATAAGAGAATAAGAACTGTAGAAATTATTGGAGAACTAATTTGATGTAGTATTAAGACATCAGCCTAGAAACCTGGAGGCCATGAGTTCTAATCCGATCTTAGTCACAGTGCTAGCTGAGTGATATTAGGCTAGGCACTGTTTCCCAATCCCAGGAAGGATGTACATGTAGTCCTTGACTTACAATAGTTTATTTAGTAACCATTCAAAGTTACAACGGCACTGAAAAAAGTGACTTATGAATGATGACCATTTTTCACACTTACAATCATTGTAGCATCCCCATGGTTGTGTGATTTGGATGCTTGGCATCATATTTATGACTGTTGCAGTGTCCCGAGGTCATATTATCATATGATTACCTTCTACAACCTTCTGACAGCAAAGTCAATGGGGAAGCCAGTTTCATTTAACAGCCATGTTGCTAACTTAAACAACTGCAGTGATTCACTTAAGAAATGTAGCAGAAAAGTCATAAAATGGGGCAAAACTCACTTAACAATGTTCTTACTGAGCAACAAAAAAAAATGGAGACAATTGTGGTTGTAAGTCGAGGATTACCTGTAATAGCAAAGCACTTCCCAAAAACCTTGTCAAGGGAAACTGTAGAGACTAATCCAGGCAATTGCCAAAATTGACATTNGAAGAAGAGGAGGAGAAAAAGAGGTTAGGAGGAGGAGGAGGAAGAAGGGGTAGAGAAGTAGGGGAGGAGGAGAGGAAGAAGAGGAGGAGAAAAAGGGGTTAGAAGGAGGAGGAGGAAGAGGGGGTAGAGAAGTAGGGGAGGAGGAGAGGAAGAAGAGGAGGAGGAGGTGTTAGAAGGAAGAGGAGGAGGAAGAGGGAGTAGTGGAGGAGGGGAGGGAAAAGATGAAGGAGAGGAGAAGGAGGAGGAGGAGTTAGAAGGAAGAAGAGGAAGAGGGGTAGGGGAGGAGGAGAGGAAGAAGAGGAGGAGGAGAGGAGGAAGAGGGAGGAGAGGAGGAAGGGAGAGAAGAGATAAAGAAGAGGAGGAGGAGGGGTTAAAAGTAGGGGAGAGGAAGAGGAGGAGGTGTTAGAAGGAAGAGGAGGAGGAAGAGGGCGTAGAGGAGGAGAGGAGGGAAGAGATGAAGAAGAGGAGAAGAAGGAGGAGGGGTTAGAAGGAAGAGGGGTAGAGAAGCACCCTCTGAGGTCCCATGACCGAACTTCAGGAGCCCAGCAACATAGGTCCATTGACAGTCGCCTGTAACATCATCGCAGTCATATGTCGAGGACTACCTGTACGTGACGTTACGACATACGACCGTCATGGATAGGTTTCGTGATGTTTGTATGTCTAGGCCACCGCACCAGCTTTAACCATAGGATCATCATCTTTTAACGACACCGTAATCTCTTGCGGGGTGGAGTCTGGGCAAATGAATGGAGCTGAGTATTTACTGGCCAGATGCCTTTCCCTGTTGCCAATATGGAGTTTTGTTCAGCAGATATATTCTCATTGTGCCCGGAAAGAGACATATCAGCCTCTACCTAGGATTGAACTCACGGCCTCCTGATTCTGAGGGAAAAGCTCCGCCTCTACGCCACCACACCACTCGTTATTGTTACTAGTGTGTTTTTTTTTTAATTATGCACTCAATTTTTCTTCCTCTCTCGGGTCCGTCTCCTCTCGCAGGGCGCACCATGTACGTCATCCCCTACAGCATGGGCCCCCTCGGTTCGCCCCTGTCCAAAATCGGGATCCAGGTGACGGATTCGGCCTACGTGGTCGCCAGCATGCGAATCATGACGCGGATGGGCTCGGCGGCCCTCCGCGCGCTTGGAGACGGCGAGTTCGTCAAGTGCCTGCATTCGGTGGGGCGGCCTTTGCCCCTTAGCGGTAAGCCCCCACCCCGAATGAGGGGAGCCCCTCTTTCTCGGGGTTCCATTACTTCTCTGTTTCTGCGACGCGGAAGCGATGCGTGAGAACACGACAAAAAAAATCGGGTTGGTGTAAAACGAGTAAAAAAGAGTTTGCGTGGAAAACAAATTGTCTGCATTTGGCACCCACTAGTCTAGGCCAGTGTTTCTCAATCTTCTCTGCTTTAAGGTCTGTGGACTTCAATTCCCAGAATACCTCACCCAGGTTTCTCGGAGTTGAAGTCCACCTATCATAAAGCATGTTTCCTGAGGGGTTCTGGGAGTTGAAGTTCATCCATCTTAAAGCATGCTGGCTGAGGAATTCTGGGAGTTGAAGTCCACCTATCATAAAGCATGTTGGCTGAGGGATTCTGGGAGTTGAAGTCCAGCCATCTCAAAGCAGGCTGGCTGCAGAATTCTGGGAGTTGAAGTCCACATATGTTAAAGCTTGCTGGCTGAGGAANAACTCACAGAGAGAGACCTATTACAGATAGTGCTCGACTTACGACCACAATTGAACCCAAAGTTCCCGTCGCTGAGAGAAACATTCGTTCAGGGAATTTTCCCTCAGTTTATAACCTTTCATGCCACCGTTGTTAAGTGAAGCCCTGTCATTGTGTAAGTTAATCGCACGGTTGCTCAGTGAATCTGGCTACCCCCTCAACTTGGCTTGTCAGAAGTTCGCACCTCGGGACACTGCGACCACTCCGTCATAGGTATGAGTCCGTTGGCAAGCATCCAAATTTTGATCACACGATCCTAGGGATCCTAGTTGTACATGAGGAAAACAGCCATGTCCCTTTTTTTCCAGCACTGTCGTAATTTCAAACGGTCAGTAAATGAAATGTTGTAAGTTGAGGACTGCCTGTATTTTGGGGGGGGGGGAGATGATGGTTTGAGGCCTCTTTCCTTCTTCTAACTCTTGGAAGTTGTGGGAGCTTCATCACTGGAGGCTTTCAAGAAGCGATTGGACTGGCATCTGTCGGAAATGGTGTAGGGCAGATGTAACCAATCTGCGGCTCCGGAGCCGCATGTGGCTCTTTTATCCCTCTGCTGTGGCTCCCTGTCGCCGGTTGGCTCCACAATTGATAGGACTTTCGGTTAGGACAGGTAGAGGAAAAAGGACACTGCACTAGGAGAAGACCCTTTGGATAGGGGGCTTCCGGTTAGGACCTTTGTGCCTCTTTTGAGTGTTTAAGGTTGCGACCCCTGGGGTAGGGTCTCCTGCTTGGATGGAGGTTGGACTAGATGACCTACAAGGTCCCTTCCAATTCCGTTCATCTCATTCTAATCCTCTTTTTTCCAGCCGTGGAGCCTTCTCGCTTCGGAGATGGTCCGCCGTGCCGGTGCGTTGGGCCCACACCCCCCGCGTGCTCCACGGCGACTTGGCCAAACTCTCCGGCCGGGCGCAGGAGTTTGTCGAGCAAGGGCTGCGGCTCTGCCAGCCGGACAGCCTCCACATTTGCGACGGGACGGAAAAAGAGAGCACCAAAATCTTGAATCTCCTTGAATCGGAAGGCGTCATCAAGCCGTTGACGAAATACGAGAACTGGTAAGCCCCCCGTCCGGTTGTCCTCTCTTGTGGGGTGGGGTGTGGAGGGAGGAATGCCAGTTCCGGTCCGGCCTGGGGACGATGGGGGTTGGAGTCCTGGATGGCCACATCGGATTTTGCGTTTGCGAAACTTCAACGCCCGGAATTTGCTATCCTTCCTTCCGCAGCTGGCTGGCGAAAACCGACCCCAAGGATGTCGCCAGGGTGGAGAGCCGGACGGTCATCGTTACGGAGAACCAGAGGGACACGATTCCCGTCACGGCCCCGGGGGTCAAGGGTCAGCTGGGCAACTGGATGAACCCCCAAAAGTTTCAAGAAGCAGTGGACGATCGGTTCCCGGGTTGCATGAAAGGTGAATGGGAGGGGGAATAGGGGTGTGCGCGTGTGGCTTGACAATCTGAGATTGAGCCGAGGATAGAGGGGGAAATAATTTGAACCCAGGGCCAGTTCCTCCCTTGCCGTTAGTCCCACTTGGTCCCGCCAGTTCAAATCCTTCTTCCTCCCGACTTTCTCTTCTGGAGAAAGGAATCCGTTTATCAATCCTTGCTAAATCTTTTCTGATGCTTTTGGATTTACTGCATTTTTAGAGCTCTGTTTTTCCAAACACTGGAAGTTTAAGGTGTGTGGACTCCCAACTCCCAGAGGGGTTAGAAGGAGGAGAAGAAGGGGTAGAGAAGGAGGGAAGGAGGAGAGGAAGAAGGAGGAGGAGGGGTTAGGAGGAAGAGGAGGAGGAAGAAGGGGTAGAGAAGTAGGGGAGGAGGAGAGGAAGAAGAGGAGGAGAAAAAGGGGTTAGAAGGAGGAGGAAGAGGGGGTAGAGAAGTAGGGGAGAAGGAGAGGAAGAAGAGGAGGAGAAAAAGAGGTTAGGAGGAGGAGGAGGAAGAAGGGGTAGAGAAGTAGGGGAGGAGGAGAGGAAGAAGAGGAGGAGAAAAAGAGGTTAGGAGGAGGAGGAGGAAGAAGGGGTAGAGAAGTAGGGGAGGAGGAGAGGAAGAAGAGGAGGAGAAAAAGAGGTTAGGAGGAGGAGGAGGAAGAAGGGGTAGAGAAGTAGGGGAGGAGGAGAGGAAGAAGAGGAGGAGAAAAAGAGGTTAGGAGGAGGAGGAGGAAGAA